CCCTTCTACTAATTTCATTAAATTTTGAGTTATCATTTCACCTGGCAATTTCTGGATGTTGAAAAAATTGCTTCATAGTTCATCAGGGCATTTATCTTTGAATGCAGTGTGAAAAATTTTACATTTGCTACTGGGTCTTAAGGACCCATCAATAAATGTCAAATTCAATGGGTATCCAAGTGGAAGTTACCTGTTCAAGGGTAAATACATTATCCAATGAATTTCTGCCCAAAAGGCAATAAAAGAAGGCCTTTTTGTTCAAAGGTCAAAATAAGTTATTAAATTATATACTTAAAATTATATAAGGGTGCACAAAAATCCTTCACGCTGGGTCCTGACCCCCATAACAGGCCTACTGGCTCATATTTGCACAACAAACTCTGCAGTTACTTTTCATACATGCAATTACTTACACATAAAAATTACTACTAATTTCATTTTCTTCATAAACAATAATGTACTGTTATGAATTTTGTATATAGAGTGCAATTCCATGCGTATATTTAGTGCAATTAAATGTGAAATTTTATTTTTCTGGATAATGAAACATGAAAAGATGCGAGAAATGATGATCTGCCAGAAAAAAAGAATACAGGGGCAACATTATTTAACACAGAGTAAATGTGGTGAGATACTGCCAAGCTGGAGACTGTTTTGGTGACTAATCTTTGTTGACAAATTTGGCGAGGAATCACCAAACTTGGCACACACTTGGTGACATTTTGGTCAGTTCCGGTCCCTGTATAACAATAATGGATATTGTAATTAAATAACTGCAACTGATGTTCTCTATAACAGTAACCCTATGCCGCTCTAATATGATTTACAGTAATTTCAATAAGCAGAAAGTACTAGAAATACACAGTGATTCAATGAAAAAGGAAATTCTGAGTTTGAGTTGGTAACAGAGCGCATTTGGTAACATTGAATAACAAAGTCTGTCAACAACACCCTATCATTAAGTTATCATGAATGCCTGGAGCAATGTGCAACCTGCTTTCACGATCAAAGCGTTTTACAAGAACAATGACAGTGTAGACAGAATTCTGCCATCTAAATTAGGATGCCATGATCATTTTCCATCTGTGCATGCAATTAAATCATGTATACATAATTTCGAGAAATCTGGTTCGGCAAAGAAAATGAAACCTCCTGGCTGTATGCAAACTGTTCGTACACCAGACGATATGCAAGCCATTCGAGATGCTGTCGTAAGAGGTCCACATCTGTCAAGCCATTGTCACTCAGAATCTTTAAAGAAATCCAAACCAAAATCAGAGAAGAAATTGCCAAAATTCCAGTTCAGATGTTACGTCAAACCATGAACAATGTAACAAAGAGACTGCAGGAATGTCTGCATAGAGAAGGAGCTCATCTGCAAAACATCATCTTAAAAAGACAAGTTGTACTGTATGTATTATAAACTGGCATTATTTCTATTATTAAAAGAGACAAACAATTTTAAGCAATCTGTTTTCATGAAATTATTTAATTTTCAGAATACCCCATCTTTTCCAATCACTCTATATCTTAAGGCGACCAGGCTAAAATTATATAAGATGGCAGAGAGCACAATTTCTAAGCTGTAGTTGTTACATGTGAGTTCAGAGTACTGAGATAGCTCCAGGTTAGCTTCGCTCTTTAGATGCCCTTTGCATTTAGTTGTGTTTAACGTTCTTAGAAGTATGAAGTTCTTAGAAGTTAGTAGGACTACTAATTGTACTCTGTGATACTATGAAGAGTTGTATGATTATTTTTGTGCAGATGAAGAGATGCAAAAAAGATGCAGAACTGTGACGTGTTTCTTTAAATAAAATAAACTTAATCAAGCTATCATCCATTCTGTGCACAATCAACATATTGTGAACCCATACACATGCAACAATTCTTGGCATCAGAAGCGGGATTGAATGCCTATGACAAAAGCGGTGGAGGAGTAAGTAAGACAGGTCGTGACTACTTTTGCTGCATTCAAAGAAAAGATGGAAGGGTCAATCAACTTCATTAAAGAAAAGATGAATGTGGGCCAAGAATCCGTTAAAAAAGACATAAAAGTTATCAAAGATTCTGTTAAAGAGATGAAAGCTGTTCAAAAAAACGATTGAAGCAAGTAATGAGGAAATGAAAAGAGAAATTACCTGCATAAAAGAGAACAAATCCGAGGCTATAAAAGACAGAATAGATACAGTTCATAACAGAGCTGGAGAAATTGAAAAAAAAGAGTTTATTCTGTCAAAGAACAAATTGAAGAGAGAGTTTTCTGCTGTTGCCAAAGAAGCTTACCTTAAAGTCATAACGACAGTAGGAAGCAATTTTAATTGTTTTAAATTTTTCCCTATGCTTTCTTGATTCTCTCTAAAGTTCTCCACATATGATCATAAGATCTTCTGGCAAGTGTATAGACACACAATTTTCTACAGTGGCAGACGCGAATGGATGGGATTCCCAAGCTAAGGCCTGTTACCTTGCAGCTTCTCTAACAGCAGACGGAGTGAATATCTTTCAAACAATTCCTGAAAACCAGAGGCAAGATTTCAAAACTCAATCTGCCACTTTGGAGTTGTGCTTTTGGGAGAAGCATTCAAAAGAATATATCAGACATCAGTTAAACAACAGAAGGCCACAGAAACATTCCAGGAGCTCTCCTCAGATGTTGAACTGCTGTCTTATCTCACTTTCGGACTGCCCAACAGAAACAAGTGAAACCCAGTCCCTGCAAAACTTCATCAATGGCATCCGGGATCCTGAGATACAGAAAAGTCCTGAGAATTGCAGATGTTAAGGATTTAAAAAACATTCCCCTGGAGCCTATGCAATTGATAAGGCAAACTTCCTTAGAAAAGGTGAAATGGTTACAGTACATAATCCAGTAACCTGCGTTAAAACAGTTACCCTCCAGGATCTGAGCCTAACATTAGAGTTACTGCAGAATGCACAACCAAGCAATGAAGCGAGAAATATGGCAGAACATGTCAATTCAAGGATTTCAAGATGTTTTCTCCCTCTCATCTCCTGACGTACGTCTAACCAGTTTGGCTCAACATAGAAACGATAGGGAAGATCACCCACCCACCAATCAAGCAACATTCAAGACATCTACCGATTGCTAAAGAAGGTGTGAGAAAACTTTTAAAGGACATGAAAGGAAGTTTTGTTACAGAGCCTTTGGCAAGTATTTCTGCCTCTCCCATCATCCTGATCAGAAAAAAAAAGCTTATTCAACTAGATTCTGCATAAACACAAAGAAAGGTACACTCTTCCTAGAAATGATGACAATTTGGACACCCTTTCTGGAAACAAGTGCTTTATGATGCTTGATTTAAAGAGTGAATACTGGCAAGTAGAGATACACCCTGATGACCAAGATAAGATTGCATTTACTACCGAAAAAGGATTTTGGCAATTCAAGGTGATGCTTTCTGAATTATGTGATGCACAGGCAACATTCGAATGCCTCATGGAGAATATGTTGAGATGTCTTTCCTACAAAGCCTGTCTGATATACCTGGATGACGTTGTTGGGAAGAGTTTTGAAGAGCATCTAGAAAATCTTAGAAAGGTGCTTCAGAAACTGAAAAAAGCCAATCTAAAGTTGAGTCCTGCTAAATACAAATTATTCAGATAGGAAGTGATTTACCTCGGACATATCTCTGACAAATTTGTGTCTATGGATCCAGAAAAGGTGTCCGCAGTTAAAGACTGGAGATGCCCTGAAAATGCCCATCAGCTGAGAAGTTTCTTGGGGTTTAGAAGAATACAGAAGTAAATATATCGATAGACAGATTGAAGCCAGCATATATTCTACCACAACAAATCCCTGAAGGAAAGAAACCTATGACTCCAAATTATGTAAACAATGCACCTAACACCAATTGAAATTCAAACCAAAATAACTCTGACTCAACCTAAAATCAAATCAGCTTTAAGACAATCCCACACTGGTACACTTATTAAGACACCATTGCAATTAAAAAACTTATATTTTATTTCTACATTAATTTTGTTATTATTTTGATGATAAGCACTATTACTTCTTCCAATCTTTCTAACGTAACGTTCGTTACTAGAAGGGGAGTGAATGTAATGGCATAAAATATAAATTTAGTTTGAAAGTAATTCTCATAATGTTTTAATAATTATAAATGTTTACTTGCATATTATTGTATTATCTTTTTTTTTTTTTTTTCCCCCTTCGGCAACAGTTTTTATCTTTAGAATCCAATTTGTTTTTAAAAATAGAAGATGAAATTTTGACTATTGAGTTGGAGAATAAAATTATATTTGGTGTTGATATGGTAATCTTTTTATTTTATTTGCATCTTATTATGTTGTACCAACTGAAGATCCATAAAATGCATACTTATAAACCTTTTCGAGATGGCACACCTTTGTTTAAGATGTTCGCTCGATATGGATGGGAGTCGAAAGGAATTGTCCCACAGGAGGGAGGTTTTGCATGAACTAAGCCTAACTTTAAAAAAAAAAAGTTTACGTCCAAAATGTTATTCAAAAGTTTTTCATATCCTAATTATATACAGACTCAAACTGCAGAAAGTGAAATGTCATGTACTTAAGATAATCAGTAGCCCTCTTCCAAAAAAATACACATATATTTTAAAGTTCTGCACCCAAGTTATATAATACTCAGCAACAGAAACACCCATATTAAACTAATTATAATAGCTAAAAATTTTTTAATATCTGGATATGAATAAGTATCATTAGTCATACTCTTTCAGTCTTTGAGAGATGAAGTTTCGGCTTTACTTTTTCTACGAGCTAACTTTTTTTTCTATTCACAATACTTAATACAACAAACAAAAAACTGCAGATTTTTCATATATATATCACTTAGTTAAATAATCTAAGATACAACTTTACATATTCTTAGACTTCTACACCTAAAAGGTTATTTTGTTGAGTCGATAAACAAGTAGTGATGAATTCACATTCAATGTAACAAATAACATTCTTTGTAACAAAAAATGACAGCAACTTACCTTGCTTCCGCTCACAATTAACAGCACAGCCAAGAACTAGCTGAAGCAATCGGCCAAGTTCAATTACGTCATTCTTCTCAGCAATGGCATTTACATCTGGCATACGAAAACCAGTAATCTGTTGTCCCAGTACCTGAATTCAAACCATATCATAATTCATAACATAATGCAAAATTAGATACTTTTCCATTAAAGCCACATCACTTGGTGCTTTTCTTATTTTGTTATATTTCCTCAGTAGGGAACATAAGTTGGTTTGGCTTTTGTCCTGGTGATAATTGCCTTTAAAACCATCGCTCATATAATCTTTCTTTCATCTAATCAGTTTCCCTCCCACTGCAATGGATTCCACAACTTAACAAGGAGATATTCTTTACAAAGAAAGATTGCATTTGAATAACCACCTCATGAAATAAAATTGTGACTCAAAGCAGAAATCGTGATGCAGCTTGCTTATGCCAGTTGGAAAAGGTTCTGAACACAAAAACCGTGACTCAAAGCAGAAACCGTCATGCAACTTTTGCTCATGCCAGTTGGAGAAGGTTCTGAACACAGACTTGGTGTGCTGGATAATGCATTCCTTTGACTACTGCCTCATAATTCATTTACTTCTGATGTCTGGATTTAACTGATCAAGTTTCCACCACACCCTGCTTCAAATAAATCACAACACAGTACTTGATTGGAATAATTACATCAATAAAGTACATGCCAATTCCTTGCTATCTCATCCAAACATTAAAATTGATGGATGCAACAAAATTCTGGAAACTAATGAAAAACTTATCGACAAGTAAAAAATATATTACATGTTATGTTCTTCCCCAAAAATGGATTTTTTGAGGATTTTATACTGAAATTAGAGAATATTTTCTGTTGCTGTTTCTAACCATTCTGTTTCATTTAGCATTCAGCCAAAGGCATGGGGAAAGAAATCAGCTGAAATGTGCCAGTACAGCATCAAAAATACATGGTATGGCTTTAATAGAAAAGCACCCAAAATTAAAAATGGACAATCACAACTAGAATCATCCAAGAAAGCTTGAAATCTAAGAGAAATTGTCATTTCATGTATTGTCACCACAAATTTATACTCCAGTGCCTCTTGAAGTAAAGTATATGACAGGGTGCACCAGAAAAATGTATACACACTTTGAACTCTCATAGAAAATTTATTTTCCAACCTACAATGTTAAATTTCTTGGAATAGTAGTGTTATATTCCACTTTGAAAAATAAGTGTACTTTCTGGTCAAAGTGAATGTTCGAAATGGTGTTTAAAGTAAATGTTCAAATAATAATCTTCAGCATCGATACATTTCTGAGTATGAACCAGGACTGATTCCCTACTTTGCCGCAAAATGTCAATTCAATTTCTGTTTACATCTCTTGAATCTCATCCCAAAGTGTGTCCAGGTTTAGGACACATTACAATGGTGTTTGGGTCCAATTTTGTGAATGGGTTCAAGAGATGGTTACATATGAACTGGAATTTATGGAAACATTGTTTCGCCAGATGAAGTACAATTTAAACTTAATGGAATTGTCAATAGGTATAATTGTGTGTACTGGATTGAAGACAATTACTATTAAAAAGGCTGTGAATTTGCCTGGTGCAAAAAGTGTTATGTGGTTTGTCTCCTTGGGTAATCATTGGACCTTTCTGTTTTGAAGGTAATATAATTGGAGCAAAGTACCTAACAATGCTTGCTAATTCCCTTTTCCTGATATTCTGTTATGTACAGCAATGCTATTTTTTTTAGCAATAAGATGGCGCCCCTTCGCACTATCACAGAGATGTGCAAGAATACCTGGATCAAGATGTACCAGGCCAGTGGACAGAACGCAGGGGACCAATCGAGTTTCCTGTGCTCTTTCCAAACTTTATGCAGCTCGATTATTTTATGTGGCACAGTCAAAGATGAAGTGCACCACTGTAGACTACGTAACCCTGACACACTTTGAGATGAGATTCAAGCAGTGTGCGCAGAAATCCCATTGGACACTTTGAGGTGAAGTAGGGAATCAGTTGTAACTCATACTCAGAAATGTATCGATGCTTATGATTACCATTTTGAACATTCAGTAAGACTAGAAAGTACACCTATTTTTCATATTTGGACTTTACCCCTACTTTTTCCAGAAATTTAACCTTGTTGGTTAGAGACTAAATTTTTTATGACAGTTCAAACTGTGTATACATTTTTCTAACGCACCCTGTATTTTTTATGACAATATCTAATATTCATTCCAAGAAGATGCTCCCTCTAAAACAATTACTCTTAAAATACATGTAAAACTGTCTAAAATTCAAGTGATGTTCCCTTGATCTTTTACAGAAGTACACATAAAATTCTTTCTAAACTTCAAATGACAGCGGCTTCATCTATTTTTCTAGGATACAGCCATACCCTCTTGTTCTAAGATTGTTTTACAGAAAATACTTTACATATTTTGGAAGAAATTCTATTTCATCCTAACTATATTAAATCTCCTTATCAACCTGAAAAACAATCTCAGTTTAATCTTCTATTATTTATATAGCTTCAATAACAATATTTAAATATATATTATGTAATTGCATTAGTATGCCTTAACCGATTTTACCAGATAAACCTTGTGCCTTTTTTGCATATATTATCAAAAACTGAAATTGTATGGTCTCTTGTTACAATTTCTATACTTTCATTAGTTACTTTAACTTAGTATACTATACTAAATATCTGATTTAATAAAAGCTAATTTTTCTCAATTCAGTTGTCATTCTAAGTATCTGGACTGGCAGAAACAATGCTGTTCAGTTTAAAAGCAGTAAATTTACTGTATTCTCCAAAAGTAAGCATTCACCCATTTTCAATCAGCTGCTGTTTATTTTAAATATACTACACATATTTATAAATTCCGAAATAATCAGTTTCCTAATTCCCATTACATCTACCAATATGCAGTAAGACATGGAAAATGACTATAGCTTCTAATCCTAAGAATGCTTTCATTTAGAACCCCACCAACCCTTACCATTAGCAGAATTTCGTAACATTAGAGAGGTAATTTTTATTAATACACATACATATAATTAAACAGCTATTCTACTCATTATGCTTGTTCTTGTAGTGAATTGTTGTGGATCGTACAGAATGCTAGTTGTGCATATTACATTAAATGTTGTTACTGCATCCGTCAAGAGCTTTCAGCAGACATATTACCGAGTAAAAATCAATCTTTATTGTAAGACTTCAAATATGCATGCTACTACTCATACAGCAGGTCACTCTCTTCTCTGTGCTTCTACCTAGGGTTGCTGTATTTTGTCGGCACATGTGCAGAGGGGGGGGCGCAAGGTGATAGTGATAAGGATGTTCCTTATCACTATCCCCACAGTTCCCCCCCCCAATTCCTTTGATGGCAATTGGCAATTCAAAGGAATGACATTGGATGAATATTTATGAGGATCTGTGCTGTCGAGTATTTCTTTAACACAAAAATAGGATATAAAATTAGAAAAATCAAAATGTGATTCAACATTATGAAAAGGTAATAATGCATACATACAAAAAGTAAAATATATTAATAAATATGTGAAAAAAATTAAATTTCAAATATTTTTTTAAATTGTAATGTAAGAAGCAAGTTTCTTAGGAAACTTCACGTCTTCCAGATCGTGTGACAGTTTGTGTCTTTAAGTCTCTATCTGATTTCGGCTCAGGTAAATCAGAGTCTGAGAACAAATAGGCTGGTTTGACATGGTCTATGGGCACCATTGATTTAAAGCCATTTCTGTCAATTGTGACAGTTTTGCCCGCTCTCTTGAGGACTTTGTGCACACCTGAGTTCGGCTGGCACAGCAGCGACTTGACTCGATCAATACATAAGTATACACGTGTACACGATTTTAGTGTGGACTTACATAATACCTCTCTCGACAATGTGCAGATGTCACTATAGGGTTTAATTGCTGCATTCTATGTCGGAGATTGGTGATGAATTAAGTGTCGCATGAAGATACCGTAGTTGATGTTATCATCTACAGTATGATGATGTTGCTAGGCAGCCTGAGTGTTGTGCCGTACAAAAGTTCTGCACAAGATGTTAATATATCCTTTTTAATTGCTGTCCGGATGCAAAGCAGAACAACTAGGAAGTGATTCAGTCCAATTATTGTTCTTGTGAGCCTCGAGAAATGATTTTCGGTGCCGGAGAAATCGCTCAACAATGCCATTTTACATTGGATGATAGGCTGTCATCATGATTTTGTTTGTTCACAAAATGTGAGTAAACTCTGCAAACATCATGGATCTCATTTGAGAACCTTGGTCCGTTGTTATAACCGATGGGCAGCCAAAGCGAGATATCCACGAGTTGAAAATGGCTCAGCAAATAGCTTCTGTTTACATATCGGGGATAGGTATGGTTTCAGGGCATCTGGAAAATTTATCTATTAAAGTCAAAAAGTATATGTTGCCTTCTTGATGGCAGTAACGGGCCAACAATATGTATACGGATTTGTGAAAAATGCACATCAGAGAAACAAAATGTACCCAATGGTGCTTTTGTGAGTTGGCTTATTTTTGATTGCTGGCAAGAATCACAGAATTTCACCGAATTTTTTATATGACATTTCATATCGGGCCTTACATAATGAGAACAAATGAGTTTCATAGCAGCTGCAATTCCTAGATATGATAGATTATGCAGATGATTAAAGATGAATCTGCAAAATGAATTTGGCACAAATGGACAAGGAATGTCAGTAGTGATGTCACAAAGAATGTTACCATTGGAATATTGGCACAGCTTGAATTCCAGCTTCAAAGATGATGTATTATTTTTGAGAAGGTTTTGTACCTTCGGATCATGCTGTTGAGCTTCGGAAATTTTTTTTTAAATCCAAAAAATGGAGATTTTGTTATGAAATCAATTTTGATTCGGAAATTTTTTTTAAATCCAAAAAATGGATATTTTGTTATGAAATCAATTTTGATTCTCAAAAGGGCATCAGAAACAACATTTTTAGAACCTTGCACATGCCTAATATCGGTAGAATACTGAGAAATAAAATCCTGAGTTAATGTAATACTCAAATTATACTGACTGGGGTGAAGCCCAAGAATCAGCAATACTTTAGAGCATTTCTTCATGCTAAAAGCAATTTTAAACACTTTAGTTTCTTCTTCTACAAAATCAACATTGGAAGCTGTTGAAAAATGCTATAAATCTCTAACAGAATTGACTACAATACTGTTATCAACATTTCAGATATGAATCTATTAGGTTGTTTCACTATTACCAACTCATATTGTCAAAAGTTGACTTGCAAAGCTAATTAAATCAGATGTAACAGCAAAGTGATGATGGTTTATTCACATTGAAAAAGCTCATTTTATTTATAAAAAGCAAGGTATTTCATCTATAGAAGCAATCTGTGGCATGATGTAAAACCAAATTGCTTGGATTTAATTGAATTATTGATGATAATGCATTATTTCATTTAAATCGAAGTAATTTCTGATAAAATGATGGCTCAGACCTTAAAGAAGATATAATGGACCAAATGCTTATTAGTTATACGTAGGTTGATCCAAAAACAAGTTACGAGCAACAGCGCTTGAAAAATAATTATTGCCGGAGAAGAGAATACTTTTATCTCCAGCATATAGACAGATAGCAATAGCTGCTTAGCAGCAGTTAATGTGGGTACATAGCATAAGTTTGTAGATGTGTCAGAGAGATTTAAATGTTAAGACGTTTAGAAAAGTGGCCTTACTTGCAGGTGCAAGTCGTGATTCATTATCCTGATCAAGTATCTGGAACATAGCCATACCATTACTGCCTATTGTTATTGTGCCACTTTGACAAGGTTATGTGAAGCTACCTGACAGAAGTGCCCTGGCATGTTCAGTGATGATGCTATCCTCCCGCATGACAATGCCCGGCTCCATACCACTTGCCAAACTTCTAAAACTGCTGCAAAAGTTTACATGGGAGGTCTAGAGTCAGCCTCCATATAGCCCAAATTTAATACCCATTGACTACTTCCTTTTTCCGAAATTGAAGTAACATCTATCTGGGATGAAGTTCTCTTCCGACAGCGATGTGAAAACAACTACCAAGAACTGGCTTGGTAGTATGTTCAGATAAATGCCTAAGGAGATTTGATTATTACCTAAATTGTATTGTATTGTTATTACACTTATAACTTTTTTAATGGATACACCCTCATAGCTTACCTAAAAATCAGGTAGAGATAATAAAAGCAACAAAAATAATATCCTGGTGAGCATTAAATACTGCTGTGATGAATACAGCCTACAAGATGAATTCAAATCAGGAAAAATCATGAAACATGAACTACATTAAAAGACAGAGAAATAAAAGATCCAATAAAATCACTTAAAACTAAATCAAATTAAATAATATAGGTGAGTCCTTCTTACAGCATGGAATAGATTACAGTTGCACTCTTTTCTTATTAAATAGTCAAGAGGTAAGTCAGAGCTATTCAAATACAATGCCCTCCAAAAGTTAAGGAACAGTATGTATTTTGTGTCCTATTTGTGAATAAAGCAACACAGAAACCAGAAATTTAGAGCACATGCTCACTAAACAGCTCTTTAATGAATATGACATAAAATGTTTCTAAAGTTCAAAACAAACATGAATTACAAAAAAATTGTACTCTTGGCAGAGAAATCCAGTCTTGAAGAAACAGTATATCGCAGTTTTTTGAGGAAAAATGGGGTAGTAATATTACAAAAATGGGTTCTAATACGGAATGTGTTGACCCCTAGCTGCAATACATTGGCGGTAGCGACGTTCCATGCTGTCTGTTAAGTTGTCGGTCATTGAAATGAGAAGCAACAACCAGACATGAAGTAATCCTTGTTCAAGCTCATCTAATGACCTTGGAGGGAGACTTAATCCTTTCCGGTACGCTACCTTTTAAATCTGGAATTTCTACAAAAAAAAAAAAAAAAGATAGGCATCTAATCAGGCCTAGAAGAGAATACAGGTAAAAATTTGTGAGGATGGCACTTATTGTCTTTGAAAACAATGCTGAAACGAGCATTGCAATGAAGCGCTTAAAAGAGTAAGAGATTTTGCCTATGATTAAAAACGATAGATTCTGAATACCGTAGCAGATTTAGCATTGCCCATGGTGAGCCACGGGGAGGACTGCTACTCTACACCCCCCCTAAAAAAGCTCTTCTTGGTTATATGATGATTACATGCATATGAATGGAAAAAAGGGAGTATATGACATTTACATTATTTACATTTCTTATTTACCCTTTCCTCTATTTTTTTCATGGTGGTACTTTTCGAAGAAAGTGACACCACCTTTGAAAAAGCACAAACCAATATTGCATGTTTTGCACATGTACCGGGATCCATATCAGATTCACTACCTGAAAGCAATTCGTGTAGCACTTTCAGAGATTCAGAAATGGTCAGCCCTCTCCGATGTATCTGGAAAATAATTTAAAATACGGAAAAAAACTAATACTATATCTACAATTAGAAATTTTAATCTATTAAAAAAAATTAAATAAATGTCTACAACTCAAAACTATCAAAGAGTAGCTCTAACAAAACTTTGAACGAAAGTGAAAGAGAAAAAAAAATCAAACAACTAACTGATAAAATTACCCCTGACCTTCAGAAAATCCCCCCAACAATTTCTTAGTTGATAACCAAACCTCCCTTCCCCCCCCAAAAAAAAGAAAAAGAAAAGAAAGAAAAGAAAAAGAAAAACAGGAAACGAAACACAGATGTGGACCAACCTTTCTATTGTCAATGAACTGACCGGAGAGCTGCGGAGAAACATAGATTCAGTTCTTGGTCTAGTCTTAGTCTCTCAGTAAGCCCACTATGGGCACACCTGATGTTCACCATTTGATTTTAGGCAAGATTTCAAGATAAAAATTTAAAACTAATATAGAATAAGGAGATTAGCACACAGCCAAGAAAATAACGTAGAAATTTCTTTTCAAATAATTCCTTTTATATCCTATCGTAAAAAAATCTGGAAGATTTCTTTGAAAAATGAGGGTCTTCAAAAACTAAACATAGCTAAACCCACAGTTTCTTAAATTTAGATATAGCCATGAAACTTCAAATACTACAGGATTTTACGTATCAGAAAATGTTTCTAAAGCTTCTAGTGTCAGTATAAATTATAAACTTTCCCTGCATAACTTAAGATATAAATGAAAATGCATGATACATAACATTTGATTCAGGATTAAGTATTGAGCAAGCATCATGCAGTCATCTACTTCCCACATAGTTCCGAATCACATTATGACATGATGCAGGAAGTGCAAGATTGATTTTTCATGAATTCAATTTTTCATGAACAGGACATAACTTATCTGATTGATGTTTCATGAACAGGACATAATACATCTGAAATAGCTGCCAATAAAGCACAGGATACCAGTACAGTGACAAAACTGTCTGAGTGATGCAAGGGACAATTACCATCCATCAAGAGCTGGTTATTCAGCTTTTTTGTGGCATGGTATAGCTAAGGCAGAAAGTTAACAAACATCAACATTTACAGAACATGTCATATCATTAACAACAGTTTCCAGATGCCTGATGACTATGGTTAAAAATAAATGGTTATGAGAGTTCCACACAAATCGCTGAACAGCTAGAAAAATGGCAGTTTAGTCAACACATTTTTGTAACAAAAGTAATATAATTATGAATAAATTTTATGTATAACATTTCCATCCCAGCCAAGTCCATCCAGCCATCTTGATATTGAAAAATGATTCTTTTGCTTCTTACTTTGGAAAAATATTCTCAATTCAACCATTCATATAAAAAGTTTGTATGTTACATTTTTTTTTCACATTTTTTACAACCATTTCTTCAGACAGTGATGTGAAGGTTTTGAGTTTATTTTTATTTTTGTGACCTCTTCAGTTTATTTTTAATAGCTATCAATTTTCTTATAACAGAAATACATTGCTATATAATCCACAGCAATTGCACAACTTAGATTCTCACATTAATTAAAACATTTTTAAGAAAAATTTATCTCAAACCAGCAAGCTTTGCAAATAACTAAATATTTCAATCAGATCTCAAACTTTGCAAGTAACTAAATATTCCAAACAGAAAATCTTACAAATTATTAAATAAAAATCTGAAACACTTTTAGCTAATAAAAGGGCATATAAAGAATAAACAGCTAATAAATTTAAGATTGAATTTATGAACCAATATCATGTAACAAAAGCAGAGTCCAGAGTTAAATTCCTTACCTCACTGTAGTAATCCAGAATTCCTTTCAAAATCTTCTTCAAATTACTGGCCTTTAAAAAAATTGCAAATTAAAATATTTAAAGGGGTATTTGTGTCATTATATTGTTGATTATCACTGCAACAAATGCTGATTAAGTTCGGAAAATCATCTGAACAACTTTTATAATAAGCAAAAATTATTATTCATACAAAATAAATCTGAAAGAAAAATATTATACAAGTAACATGTCCTTATTAATACAGAAAACTTAATTTTTTTATAGTGGACAGTCCATTTTTAAAGTCAGAAATCTCTACAACAGAATTCAAGACCAGACAGGACATCGGGGATTCTGGAAATTATCCGAGGCACCAGTAGCCATGATGCTGCTACAACCAGTGCTTAAATTGCGGTGGAGCCCGGCTCCGGTACTTCTGAATTTTTAAGATAAATTACAATTCTAGCCGGAGCGCACCGGAGCCCTAAATAAGATGAGCTCCGGTACTTCTTTTTATAAAACTGAGCCACAATTTCAAGGAAAAAAAATTGAATCCCTAACATTTTAATTTAACAATAAGCAGATCTTGCAATACTCTATTTCCCTAGAAATACGAGCTCATGAGAAGTTCAAGTAAAGTCCCCTCACACACATGCAGAAACCTTTCCCTTTAAGAAGAGCAATAAATTTGGGGGAGTTTGTTTAGGAACGTGTGAAATTCTCGCCATGCCATCGTATCTAGTGTACGATGGTTACAAATAGTTATCCTTGCAAGAAGGAAAATTTGTGTTCTTAAATGTGCGTTAAGTGACAGTGCGTACAATATGAGTGAAATACTGAGATAAACTGCTTAATCACATCCTATACGTCGTCTTCAAACAGTTTCCACTAATGTAACCAAATATGTGGGGGCGAAAAGTGTAACCAGCAACTTTGCATTCATCCTTAGGAGTCAGATTCAGAACTCATTTTACCCCTGACACACATCCACTTGATGGCTATAATTATATCAGCAAAGAGCCGCGGTCAAAGGAATGTTCTCTCTCACCAAGATTCCCCTCATTTTTTGTTTCCACCCACTCATACCCTCATTCAGTTTTGGCCTCTTTTTAGCATTATCTTAATTTTCATCAGCTATATTTTAAGTATATTTAATTTTTATGATGATTAAAGAACTTTTCCCCCCCCCTGCGACCAGAGCTTATATTGTTCCAGAGCCCGGCTACTATGCTTCTTAGTTTTTGTAATAAATCATAATTCTAGCTGGAGCACACCGGAGCCCTAAATAAGAAAATTGCAGCACTTCTTTTATGTAAATGAATAAAAATTTTGATAGAAATTTCATCTCGAAAATTTTATTTTTAGCAATAAAATTATTTAAAAATAGCTTATTAATTTTAATTTATCTCTTTACATTTAATTTTAATTATATAATAATATTGATTAAATAACAATTTTAAACATTAATTAAATACCTATTACTTAATTTGATAATAATTAACTATTTAAATTTTAAAATTATTAACGAGTTTAATAGTCATTTTATTTATTTATTTACTCTTGTTCCTCTTTGCTGACGGTCTTCCATAGGGCTCCCCCACTTCTAATTTTAGAAATTAAGCCCTGGCTACAAGCATTGATATCAGCTAATGTAAAACTGATGAAACTGTTACTATAGAATAATCAAAACTACAGAATGCAGCACAAAAACAATAAATATGTAAAAGGAAGGGAGAGATTTAATGACATGAAAAAAATGTAACTATTTAAGATAAATTAATGGTAAATGTCTTAAACATATTGTCTTAGAGCGGTCATTTGTTATTTCATTGCAAATTTATCTTAGTCAATCTAATTTTTTATTCTGCACACTATAAAGGGGGAATTTTGATGTCTTTTCACTAATTTGCTTTCAAAATAGTGACCTTCAAAATAGTTTTTTTTTTTTTTTTTTTTTTTTTTTTTTTTTTTTTGCAAATCAGCCATTGCTCACCTTGACAGAAACATTCACAAGACCGCTTGACAAAAGTAACCACCCAAAAATAACACTAATAAGTGAATTCAAAAAGAAACAATAACAGTAAAGACCCCTGATGAATGTTATTGTTTTGCCAAACCATGAACAACTTGCTTATGGCGCTGACTCCATTAGGCAGCAATCCCTTGCCACCTACATCTGCTGTCTTAAATATGGGCCAAGCATGAAGGCCCTGTGAGCATAGGGGCCCATGTTTTGGTCCATTTATTGCTTTCTTGAGACAAAGCAGTACAAAAAGACAGCACAACAATATAAAAGCCTAGGGCCCCAATGATTCTTTTAAGATGGCTATGACTAACCTTTGAAGAGGTGGAACTAAAGTCAGAAGTCTTTTTCTTTGGCCCTAGCTACAGTATGTCACTGCACATGGATAATGTTCTTTATGGTGAGGCACTAAAATTAATGAGTTTGGCCATTTGCATCAAATGCTTTGAGCAAGCACCTGGCTTTTTGGCAGGAAGTGTGTGTACACATCATGCATCAACTAGAAATAGGTTAATGTCCTGGATCAGATAATCCTGCTGACAAAATTACATGTGGTGTTAAAGTGAGTGAGCTTGTAGTAGATCGAATGCGGTCGCACGGACCTACATGGCTTCATCAAGATGAAATAAATCGGCCCACAGTGAACGAGCATTGTAACACAGTAGGTAGTGTTGAAGAAAGAGTTGTGACTGAAGTTACCAGCAGTGTTCAACTTTTACAACCTGTGTTAAAAATAGAGAACTTTGTGACTTAAGAAAACTTTTAAGAGTCACATATATATTTAGATTCACTACTAATTTATTGGTCCTGTGACCAAAAATGAAATATGTAATGCTATGAGTTATTGGATTAACTTATCACAAGGCGAGGTTTTTTTTTTTTTTTTTTTCCTTCCAGAGTTGAATGATTTTAAATGTGAAAAAAAAAAATTGTCTTAAAATTCAAATTGTTTGGATTAAATCCAGTAATGAACGAAAAAGGTTGTATAAGAGTTGGAAGTAGATTAGTAAAATCATCATTAAATGTTGATGAAATTCAACCTCTAATATTACCAAATAATTATTTTTCTCGTTTAATTACTTTAAACTGTCGTGAAAAGGTACTTCATAGTGGTGTAAATGAAACACTCGTCGAGTGCAAGTAAGAGAGAAATTTTGGATTTCAAAAGTTAGACATTTTGTAAAATCTGCATTACATGATTGTAGATTTTGTAAAAAATATAATGCTAAAGCTAGACATGAGATCAGCTCCTCTTCCTGATGACCGAGTGGAGAAAGCTCAACCATTTGAGGTTAAGTGGCCTAGATTTTGCTAACACTTTGTATTTAAAAGATGGTACAAATGTGTATATTTCATTGTTTACTTGTGCAGTGACTCAAGGAGTCCATTTAGAATTGTTATCAAATGTAAGTACAGAGTATTTTATTCAAGCATTGTGTAGATTTTTTGCACGTAGAGGTATGTGTAGAGTTATTTATTCTGATCACGCTAAGACTTAACACTGCTGATTGTGATTAAAATATTTATATAAATTGTGCAAAGATGAAAAGGTTCTAAATTTCCTTGGGAAAATGAGGTTGAAGGAAATTTATTGTAGAAGGTGCTCCTTGGTGGGGCGGATTCTGGGAACGTTTGCAAGATCTTGTTTGGCAAAAACTTGTTTAAAATGTATCTTAGGTAAAGCTTCTTTATATCATGAAGAAGTGTATACTGTTTTAGTTGAAGCTGTTATTAATTCTAGACCTATAACCTATGTACACAATGAACCAAATGCACCTGATCCTCTTTCACTATCTCATTTTATAACTGGATCTAGATTAACTGTTTTACCTTCTCCTGAATCTAAACTAGAATCTACAAGATCTCAGTTGATTAAGAGATGGAAGCATAGGCAATTACTATTAGAGCATTTTTTGGAAAAGTTTTTATAAAGAATATTTGTTAGAATTAAGATCAGTCATGTTTTCAAAAACTCCAAATAATTCTCCCATGTTTAAAATTAATGATGTTGTACTTGTATGAGAAGAAAATGTGAAATGCTGTACTTGGAAGTTAGGTAGGATTAAGGAATTATTTCATGGAAGAGATGGTAGAATAAGATCTTCTAAGATTCTGTTGGATAAGAGCAATGTTAGAAGAACAATTGAAATACTTTATAATCTTGAAGTTCAGTAAAATTGATGCATCCGTTTACGGATGCATGGGGGGATCGGGTGTTAAATATAAGTTTATGACTATATATCATCCGATCGCCAATAGATGGCAGTAGTGCTTATTTGTAAAAAGAAACTGTGATGACATAATTATGTATGTGTATCAGATCGTCTTTGGTATTTGTCAATAAACGTTGTGTGGAAAAACGCTCTCTGTTTATTACTTTAAATTCAATCCCGTCTGATTTATTAGAGACTGACATATATTTTGTTTAGCAATAAAACATAACTGATACTTAATTAAAAATTATTAATAGAAATTAGTACAAAAGCATTAGTTAACATAAATTAAAAAGTTTGACAGTTGATTATTCGAAAAATATTGAAATTAAAACCAAATTTAAGCAAACTGGAAAAAGGTGGGAAAATTAATTCACTTCTTGGAGAAAAATTTTCTTGGACATCTGACAGATATGCATACCTCACATCTTGATTTCATAGACTTTACCAAAGTCTTGATCAAGTCTCGTGGAATCGCATGCTATGCTTCTAGATGTGCACTTTTCAGCTCCTGCAGAGGGTCTGGCAAGGAATTTGGCATGCTAAAATTCAGTGCCCTAAGGCATCCCACACATGCTCAATTGAGTACAGGTCAGGTGAGTAAGGTGGAAAAATGCATTCGAATGATATCTTCTGTTCGCAAGTATTCCGACAAAACATATCTCAATAACACCGAGCACTGTGATCCATTAGGAAAAACTCTAGGCCAACAACAACCCTAAACAGTCTAACTTGGGGTTAAAATACCTCGCTAATGTATCTCCAAGCAGATATAGAAACTCCTTGAAAGACATGCAAATAGCGGTTCCTTTTGTTATGTTTCCCCAAACCTTTAA